CTTCAGGATAGGTCTGGAAATGTTCTTTTTGATGATGAATTTGACGCCATTTCTCTTCAATTTGTCATTCCCGCCATAGTTTACCATGTGATTGTCTGATTCAAAATGGCTAGTACCAGTCCATTTCAGCTCACTAATGGCTAAGATAGCGATCTTTATGTGTTCATTTCATCTTTGACGACTTCCAATTTTCTTAGATTTGTACTTCGTACATTCTGTGTTCCTATTATTAATGGATGCTTGCAGCTGTTCTCATTTTGAGTCATGCCACATCAGCAAAGGAAGATCCTGAAAGCTTGACTCCATCCACATCATTAAGGTTGACTCTACTTTGAGGAGACAGTTCTTCCTCAGTCATATTTTGAGTGCCTTCCAACCTGAAGGGCTCATCTTCTGGCACTATATCAGACAGTATTTCCTTGCTATTCGTAAGTTTTTCAGTGACCAAGTTTTTCAGAAGTAGACCACCAGGTTTTTTTCCCTAGTCTGGAAGCTCTGCTGAAACCTGTCCGCCATGGGTAACACTAGCTATCTACATGCAAAAGAATGAAGCTGGATTCCTACTTTACATCATATAAAAAAAATAATGACTCAAAATTCATCAAAGATCTAAATGTAAGAGGTAGCACTGTAAAAATTCTTGGAAGAAAACATATGAATAAATCTTTGTTAGGCTGGATTAGGCAACCGTTCTTAGCAAATATGATACCAAAAACACAAGCAACAGAAGAAAAAGCAGATAAATTGGATTTCATCAAAATTATCAAGGAAAGTGAAGTCAACTCACAGAATGTGAGAATATATTTGTGAAGTATATATCTGATAACGAACTTATATCTAGAATATATAAAGAACACTTGAAACTCAACAGTAAAAAGACAACCCAATTTTAAAAAGAGCAAAGATTTTAGATAGACATTTCTCCAAAGAAGATATACAAATGATCATTAAGCACATGAAAAGATGCTCAACGTTATTAGTCATTAGGGAAATACAAATCAAAACCACAATGAGATACCAGTTCATACCCATTATAGAGTGGCTGTAATCAAAAATACAGAAAATAACAAGTATTGGTGAGGAAGTAGTAAAAATGGAACTCTCATACATTGCTAGTAGGATTGTAAAATGGTACATTTGCTTTGGAAAACTCACAGTGTTAAATAGAGGGTTAGCATATGACCCAGAAATTCTCTCCTAGGTATATGCCAAAAGAACTCAACAATTATATCCATAGATAAACTTGTACACAAATGTTTACAATAGCATTATTCACAATAGCCAAAAAGTGGAAATAACCCAGATGTCTATCAAGTGATGAATAGATAAACAAAATATGGCATGTCCATAAAATGGAATATTTTTTAGCCATAAAATGAATATAGTTCTGACACATACTACAACATGGGTGAATCTTGAAAACATTATGTTAAGTAAAAGAAATCAGACACAAAAGGCCACATGTGGTATGATCCCGTTTATATGACATGTCCAGAATAGGCAAATCCATAGAAACAGAAAGTAGATTAGTGGTTGCCAGGGGCTGGAGAGAGGGAGGGATGGAGAATGACTGCAATGGGTATGGAGTTTCTGTTTGGAATAATGGAAATGTTCTGGAATCAAATACTGGTGATGGTTACTCAATTTCGTAAATATACTAAAAGTCACTAAATTGTACTCTTAAAAGGGTAGAAAATTAAAAGTTCTATCTCATGCTTTGTTGAAAAAAAAAAAAAAGCCACCCTAGGAAAAGGGATCATCGTCTTTGTTAGTTGTATTCCTTTTCAAAATCAGTGTCTACAAGTGGCTCCCACTTTGGACTTCAACAAGCTACATTCTATCAGTTCCACCTTGTGAAAGTATCATAAATAATGCTATCATTAAGAGGTGCTTCTGGGAGTCTATCAACACTTGTATAAAATTTCCAAGTTTTAAAATATATTTAAAATTGCTTTTAAAAATGTAATATGAAACAACATATACTCTCAAATGTATTACTGTTTTATCAGATTTTATCACACGGTGGGATACTGTGTGTTAACTCGTGTGTCTAAGTTACCTCGTTTTGTACATGCCTTGGAATCAAGTGCTTTCCTGTCATTTCAGTGTATAGATCCAGGCATTTCACAAATATTTTACTAAATAAGAATGTTATAGCTCTGTGGTTGTTGTTAGGTGCCGTCAAGTCAGTTCCAACTCATAGTGACCCTATGCACCACAGAATGAAACACTGCCCGGTCCTGTGCCGTGCTCGCAATCGTTGTTATGCTTGAGCCCATTGTTGCAGCCACTGTGTCAGTCCATCTCGTTGAGGGTCTTCCTCTTTTTCTCTGACCCTGTACTTTACCAAGCATGATGTCCTTCTCCAGGGACTGATCCTTCCTGACAACATGTCCAAAGTATGTAAGATGTAATCTCACCATCCTTCCTTCTAAGGAGCGTTCTGGTTGTACTTCTTCCAAGGCAGATTTGTTCGTTCTTTTGGCAGTCCATGGTATATTCAATATTCTTCGCCAACACAATTCAAAGGCGTCAGTTCTTCGGTCGTCCTTATTCATTGTCCAGCTTTCACATGCATGTGATGGCTACTGAAAATACCATGGCTTGGGTCAGGTGAACCTTAGTCTTCAAGGTGACATCTTTGCTTTTTAACATTTAAAGAGGTCTTTTGCAGCAGATTTGCCCAATGCAATGTGTCTTTTGATTTCCTGACTGCTGCTTTCATGGGTGTTGATTGTGGATCCAAGTAAAATGAAATCCTTGACAACTTCACTCTTTTCTCCATTTATCATGATGTTGCTTATTCGCCCAGTTGTGCGGATTTTTGTTTTCTTTATGTTGAGGTGTAATCCATACTAAAGGCTGTGGTCTTTGATCTTCACCAGTAAGTGCTTCAAGTCCTCTTCACTTTCAGCCAGCAAGGTTGTATCATCTGCATATCGCAGGTTGTTAATGAGTTTTTCTCCAATCCTGATGCCCCTTTCTTCTTCATGTAGTCTAGCTTCTCAGATTGTTTGCTCAGCATACAGACTGAATAGGTATGGTGAAAGAATACAACCCTGACATACACCTTTCCTGACTTTAAACCACACAGTATCCCCTTGTTTTGTCCGAACAACTGCCTCTTGATCTGTGTACAGGTTCCTCATGAGCATAAATAAGTGTTCTGGAATTCCCATTCTTCTCAATGTTGTCCATAATTTGTTATGATCCACACAATCGAATGCCTTTGCATAGTCAATAAAACACAGGTAAACATCTTTCTGGTATTGTCTGCTTTCAGCCAGGATCCATCTGACATCAGCAGTGATATCCCTGGTTCCATGTCCTCTTCTGAATCTGGCCTGAATTTCTGGCAGTTGCCTGTTGACATACTGCTGCAGCTGCTTTTGAATGATCTTCAGTAAAATTTTACTTGCATGTGATATTAATGATATTGTTCGATAATTTCCACATTCGGTTGGATCACCATTCTTGGGAATAGGCATAAATATGAATCTCTTCCAGTCGGTTGGCCAGGTGGCTGTCTCCCAAATATCTTGGCATAGACGAGTAAGCACTTCCAGCGCTACAGCCACTTGTTCAAACATCTCAACTGATATTCTGTCAGTTTCTGGAGCCTTGTTTTTCACCAGTGCCTTCAGTGCAGCTTGGACTTCTTCATTCAGTACCATCGGTTCCTGATTATATGCGACCTCTCTAAATGGTTGAACGTCGACCAGTTCTTTTTGGTATAATGACTCTGTATTCCTTTCATTGTCTTTTGATGCTTCCTTCATCGTTTAATATTTTCCATGTAGAATCCTTTGCTGTTGCAGTTGTAGCTCTGCACTGGTTTAAAAACAATAACAACAACAAATGTCTTCTTTCATAAAGTTATAGAAATGAGTACATAGAGCATTTCTACTGGATTTCCTTGATATTAGTAACCAAAACCAAGTTCAGAAGGAAATCAGATACTGGGACTGATATCAGTGTAAACTGTCATTCATAAACCCCCATTTTCAATTTTATGGTGTATCATAACATCTCCATTGTTCTCACTCACTGCCATTTTAATAAGAAAATGTTGTAAATTTGATTCAATATAGTAAAATGTACAAATTAAATATCACTTTATCTGCTTCATATATTGGGGTTGTGTATAAGATATTTAAATTTTATGCAGCTGGGGTCCTGGAGATGGTTCCCAACACGTTAAGTTTCCTATTTCATCTTGGCTTCACTCTTGTTCTCCAGGGATGTTTTGAAAGCAGTTTTTTTACCCTCACAGAAATCCCAACAGTGAAGGAGAGACTTTTGGCTGAAAAAATATTTACTGACTTTATATAGATTGTATTGTTTTTCTGAGGCTCTCTCTCAGAGATTGCCCTGTACAAATATTGTTGGCTGGGTCATAAGGCTATTTGGTATTATGCCCAATAAAAATATTTCAATTCCTATTTCACAGGTGGTGTTTGGAAGGTGATATGCAGCCTTATTTTAATTTTTTTTTCATAATTGTATGAAACAACTGAATTACTGAATTCTCAAGGATGAGACTTCATCAGAAGCAGGGTGAAATATAGCATGTGTCATTAGATTGTCTCCTTCTATGCCAAAACCTTTATGGTTACACTCCTGTAGGCAGGGTGTAATGGACCATTGTCAAGGTTATAATATGTGTGTGTTGCAGAGTGGCAGAGGGGAAGGAGACAGTGAAAGAATCAAAGAAATAAGTATTTTTGTTTTTGTTAGCTTCTGTTGAGTCAGCCCTCAAATCATGGCGGCTTGGTGTACAACAAAGTGAAATGCTGCCCAGTCCTGCACCATTCCCATGATTGATGCCTTTGTGATCCACAGGGTTTTCATTGGCTGATTTTTTGGAAGTAGATCTCCATTGTTATTTCTTCCTAGAAATAAGAATTACTGAGTGCCTAATATGGTGTGGATATTTTATTACTGTAGTATTGAACCTATTTTTCCAAACTAGTCATGTGTCCATTCTATTGTCTTCATAGGTGATCATGGAGGAAGCACTTTACTCCCACCGAATGTCACGAATGAATTTCCAGAATATGGGACCATGGAAGAAAGTGGAGAAGGCCTAAGAACTTCACTTGAGTTTGATGCAGAGCCTCGGCCATGCTGCCCACAAGGACAGCAGGGGGCCCAGCTTCTTGCCGGCCACCACTCTGGGCCTGGCAGTTTCACAGAAGGACCAAAAGACACCGGAGAGGTCCCCTCTCACAGTCACCTCAAGGAACAAAGTTTACAACCCATTGACTCATTGATTTCAGCTCTGAAAGCCACAGAAACCAGAATAGCTTCAGAAACTTTACAGACTACAAAGGTACTGGACAAAGATGCCACTTCTAGTTTTTCAGTTCAGCAGGTGGAAAAAGAGCTGGATACTGCCAGTCAGAAAACAGAGGGAGCCAACAAACGAATCCCTGCAAGCCAAGAAAAATCACCAGGTATACCTCTTTCAGCTGAAGTCACGACTGAGGAGAATTTTTATTTGAGCATCCAGAAGGATCTGAGTGCACTGGTAACTGGAGAAACTCAGCCAGAGCTTTTCCAGATAACTAGTAATGGGAGAAAAGGGGCTGTCTGTGTGCAGGAGGCATTATCCACCGTGGAGAGTCCATCAGTGACTCATAACTCTGCGGGCAATATTGGTTACTTGAGAGAGAGGAGGTCTGATCTGGGGAGAGACCATCCAGGGGAATGTGATCAAGGCAGCTCCACAGGACGCCCAGGCAGAATCAAACATGTGGAATTTCAAGGTGTGGAGATATTGTGGACTGGAGGGGAGAAGAGAGAGACAAGGCACCCTGTAGATTTGGCGACATCAGCTTTTTCTGAAAGCAAAGAGTTCTCCAAAGTGCCAAGCCATCTCATTTCATCTGCTGGTTTATGTAATTCAGTTGGTTTATCTGAGAGCATTTGGGATAAAACCTGGAAAACTTCAGAGAGGCCTGGCACCAGCTCAGGAACATTTTCCCCTGTGCCTCTTGTTGAGAGTGGAGAGGATGAAGTCTTCCTGAAGGAAAACAAACAATATCTTGAGACGAAACCCGAGCTAGAGAGAGACAAGGAAAGGTGAGCTCATGGCATAATCCTGCTGACTGTCAGATCCCGTTAACTAGTATGTAGAATAGGAAACCACAATGGGTTGATATGAGAACTCAGTTCACAATAAACTGGATCCTGGTTATTGGAAAATGGAAGAGAAGCCATTGTAAAACTTAGATTTCCTCTAAGTTTCTGAAGTTGTCCATATGCCATGGACCAGGGAAACAGAGTTAGGGAGAAACTGTGAACACTTAATTATGTGAATCCATTTCTGACATTTTGTTACATTTGATAGATTTAAAGCTTTCCGACATCAAGGTACTAAACACACCCCACGCTGATCTCTAATAATATGAAAAGATTTGGCCTCTTCATCTATCCCATGGTCACTGAATCCTAACTTTGGCGTTTCTTCCGAGTGCAGCACAGATACCTGCAGTCTCTTAGCAGCCTGCATATGTCTGAACACAGAGGTTCTGGGTTTGGGCCAGTTTTCTGTGTTTAGAAAAGACATCTCGGATGGTCAGATGCAGATCCTATCATCCATTTGCTGCAGAGCATTCACATGGGAATCCCTTCTCACAAATAGTATATGTTTATATTTATGGTCCTGAGATGTAAACTTAGCCTCATATGGCATTTCCTGGTCTCTCTCTACATTTCTGACATCCAGACCAGCTTAGAGCTCTGCATAAATGGAAGACCTGACCCATGCTTTACTCCCATGGCCACCTGTGCCCATAGTCTGACATAAGAGTGCTCCCTTGGCAAAGGCATTTGTTGTGCATTGTCATTTTGAATTTGTACCATCCTTTTCTTCTGTTAGTCTTTATGGCTTTTTATATGGAAGAACGTCTGTGTCAAGTCTGAAGGTTTTGTTTTGTTTTTGGTACAGGGATATGCCTTTCCTCTACACTTAATTAACACATCCACTGTGAGTGTTGCTCCTTTAGGAGGGCTCTCGGGACCCCGCCTCCCCACACATACGTAAAGTCTCCAGACTTCCCCCAAAAGTAGCCTTGATGTGTGGCACATGGCTCAGCACTTGTATTTCCACTGGAATATGCACGTTTGCTGCTGTGAGAATATTGGTTCATTCCTCCTTTCCTTTCTTTTCTTCCACAAATATTTTTTGATTGTCTGCTATGTCCTTGAAACTGTTAGATACTGGACATAAAGTAATGATCCAAACAGATGTGGTCACTGTCTTCACAGACTTTACTGCTGAAGATAAACATTGACCACATGAACACGTTAATATATGTATTGGATCAAAAATTTTGCTAGGTACTCTGAAGGTAAAGAACAGACGTATGGAAGAGACTGATTTCTGTGAATTGTGTGGGGAAGGCCTTTCTGTGGACCTGATAATTCAGCTGAAACCTGAAGAATAAATAGGGTTAGGCAGGGAGGGAGGACATCTTAGGCACAAGGAATAACGTGTCCAAAGGAGGGCTACTGGATTCTGGACCGATGGTGTGCTTCCCGGAGTTGAGTGAAGCAAAGGTCCTGTGGCAAGTTTGAGGATTTGAAGCTACCAGTAAGCATAAGGAGCTAGGGAAAGTGGGATGAAATGGGTCTGGAGAGGTAGGGAGAAGTAGCATCATAGGAACTTGCTAGACTGTGATAAGGATTTTTCAGTCTTATTCTTGCAGTGGGAAACCATTAAGAGGTATATGCCCATAATAGTATTTGGTGTATGGTAGACCTCTAATAATTTCAAAACAACAAGGACATGTGAATGTTGGATGTGAATCCTGGTAATAACTAGGAATATGGATTACTTATGAGGTAGGTCCTATTTTTATTCTTATTTTATAGGTGTAGAATCTAAGGCTCAGTGAGGTTAAGTTGTCTAAAGTGACACAGCTAGTAATTGGCACAATCAGAATGCAGCTCCAGATTTTTCTAATGCTGGACTCCTTGCCCTTACCAGTGCCCTAGCTGTCTCCTGAGTTTTTTTATTTTACATAATTATCATAATGTTGATTGTTAATGTTTGAATAATATGCTGTGTATTCATTTTTCCTATTGATATGCCAAAATTAATGTCCCACCCCTGTATAGTAACTTACAGGTTGTTTCTAGTTTTTCACTGTTTGGTAAACTGGTAATAAACATGCTCATTGGCTTTTGTTTTAGGTCCCTCATTGGCTAATTTCGGACCTGAAATCTTTCTGCAGTGTTGCCTCTTGTCAGCAGGGGGCAGCCTTGGCTTCTGATTGAACTGACGACCTTTTGGTTAGCAGCCATTGCTCGCCTTAGCTCTTAACCACTGCGCCACCAGGGCGCCTGCGAGCAATTGGTTTTATTTAAATCAGAGAGTATTAATAAAATGATGAAAGTTTAGTGTACTTTTACTGCATCAAGTTTACATGATATATTTATCTGCTCTGTTATAATGATTATAATCTGAATTTGTGGAGTTTAGTCAGCTAAAATGAGAATTTTACATTTTATTCAAATATTCATTGAACCAGATGTATTCACATACTAAGAAGCTAGTATGAAACTATATTAAATTATTTATAGGGTAGTATAGTGCTTGTATGCTGAGAGTTTTTCAACCTGAATATGCTTCTATGATATCTTCCTCTGCAAATATGTTATTAAGGCATAAGACCAGCGAATGCAAGTGTTAGCTCAACAGAATGTTACTTTTCTTATATAATTGAAGGGGAAAAAAGAAAAAATTAACCTAATATTGGAATTCATGACTTTTATTTCCTTTCCAGGATTCCTGAGCAGGAGGAGCACATCAGGGAAGGGGACGATGATGTCCTGGGGTCCGGGTATGCAGAAGACTCCACTGACGTATACAGCTCCCAGTTTGAGACCATTTTGGACAACACTTCTTTGTACTACAGTGCAGAGTCGTTAGAGACACTGTACTCTGAGCCTGATAGCTACTTTAGCTTTGAAATGCCCCTCACGCCAATGATACAGCAGCGCATTAAAGAAGGCGGTCAGTTCTTGGAGAGGACATCAGGGGGAGGACAGCACGATGTTCTGAGTGTCTCAGCAGATGGCGGAATAGTGATGGGCTATTCTAGTGGGATCACCAATGGGCTGAATGACTCCAGTGACTCCATCTACATGAAAGGCACCCCCGAAATTGCTTTCTGGGGAAGGTACTAGTTGCATTCTCATTCATCTCATGGTGTTTGTTTTTGTGGCATTCTCTCTTTAGGAAATCTGTGGATGGAATGTATTTTAAAGGCATTTGGTCAGTTCCTGTGGATATAAGTGAATGCTATGAGTAAAATATAATTTGAAATTTAGGGGCAGGCAGAGTATACTTTAAATGTTGGCCAACTTGGCAAGCTATAGTCATTCTATTTGGTGTTATTTCCTGGATTACAGTATATAAATTGGATATTGAACAAATATTTGTGGATGATGAATAGGTGTCAACTCTGACAAATTTGCTCCGATTTAGTTTTTTTAATATATAATTTTTTGTTGTTATTGTTGTTGAGAATATACACAGCAAAACATACACCAGTTCAACAGTTGCTACATGTACCTTTTAGTGACATTGATTACATTCTTCCAGTTGTGTTACCATTCTCACCCTCCTTTTATGAGTTGTTCCTTCCCCGTTAACATGAATTCACTGCCCCCTGAGGTTCCTATGTAATCTTTTGAGTTGCTGTTGTCAGTTTGATCCCATATAGATAGTTCTTAAAAGAGCATAATACTCAAGACAGATATTTTTCACTAGTTAAGCTAAACTATTGTTTGGGTTTAAGAAGACTTCAGGAAATATTTTTCATTTAAGGATGAAAGATTATCTCAGGGAAATAGTTTCGGGGGTTCATCCAACCTTCATGGCTCTAGGAAGTCTGGAGTTCATTAGAATTTGAACTTCTGTTCTGCATTTTCCCCCTTTTGATCAGGATTCTTCTATGGAGTCTTTGATCAAAGTGTTAAGTAATGGTAGCTGACACCATCCAGTTCTTCTGGTCTCATGGAAAAGGCAGCAGTTGTTCATGGAGGAAATTAGCCACACATTCCATATCCTTCTTCTACTTCTGACTCTCCTTCTTCCTCTCTTGTTCCAGGCGAATAGAGACCAATTCTTGTGCCTTGGATAGCTGCTTGCAAGCTTTTAAGACCTTGGGCACTATGCATCGAACTGAGAGGTAGAACAGAGGCATTAAACATGTTATTAGGCACATTAACTGGGGTGTGCCATGAAACCATGACCATAAACCTCCAAACCAAGAAACCAAATCCCATGAGGTTTTTCATTGTACATCCGATGTAGTTTTGATGACAGTGGCATGGTGCTATGAAAAGAACATTGAGAGATTTTGGCCTTAATTGTGGCACTGATATTGGTTGATGACTTGGAGAAGCTTGTTTGATTAGGCTAGAGCTTCCTTAATTGTAAATTGAGGGTATTGGATTACATGGTCACCAAAGTCACTTCCAGCGCTTTGCTCTGTGATGTCCTGTTCTGTCGGGATGTCTTCCAGTTTCTGAGACTGTGGTGGAAGGATCTGATTATACTGATGCTTAAATGAATTGGTACCTTGGTCAAAACTATAAATATTCTGTGTCTCTAATTTAGTATTTAAGTCTACCTGGGAAATAAAATGGCAAATTATACAGGCTACGTATGCCAGACCTGTCATTTTGGGATTCCCTGTCTGCTTATGGATTATCCAGTGTTCCATTTCTTTTTGCTTGTCATCTTCAGGTCATGTACCTGTCCTTTGCATCTCCATCAGTGGGCAGAGAATGCTAAACATAAAGATGATGTATTTAGTTTTGATGTCTTTTTCCTGAATTAAAGTATGTGTGTGTTAAATGGGTATAAACTACTTTAAAGCTATACGAAAAAAAAAATCCACGTTTTTTTAAAGCCACTATTCATATTACAGGCTTCCAGTGAACCTTTCTTTAGCAGTCCCTCCTGCATTAAAGATTTATAGTTCATTGGATGAGCAAATTCAAGACTGGCATGTTATAACATTTTAGCTAAGCATTTCCATGTGAAATAGACTGTGGATGTTGGCTGTCTTACTGGGTCATAGTGAGATAATGAAAAGAACACAGATCTCGAAAGCAGAGGACTTTGGGCAAGCCACTTATTTTCTCTGAAACCCAATTTATTTGCAGAATGGGGTTAATGATATTCAGTGCCCTGTGTGACTGTGAGATTTAAAAAATTAATATAGATTAAAGCACCTAGCATAGTGCCTGGTACAAAGTCGGAGCTTGAGTCAACGTTAGAATCTGAATTGATTCGCTGATAAGCCCACATTTCAACTTCCTGTCACTCTGAGAGAAAGGTGCCATTTAGTCCTTCTGTTTCACCATCATCTCTGATAACTGTAAATTATTATAAAATGTTGTAGGACAGGTATGCAGATAATTTCACTGAAATTCCTACCCAACTTTCTGGGGTGACTGGAAGGGGTTTATATTACAGACCAAAAATGAGTTGAGGTGCTGAGGTGTTTTGGGCTGAGCTGCTTTGCTTCAGGAGCCACAAGGAGGGGACGTAAATGGAGATAAGAGATGAACATCTGAGAGTCCGATCAGGAAGGAATTGGGTGAAAGGTTTATAAAATGTATGGTTTGCATGCTTAGAGTAGGAAGCAGTCATCATTTGAGATAGCATGCGTGCCCATCATTAGTATATTTAAAAACAAAAAAACCCAAACCAGTTGGCTTTGAGTCTTTTCCGACACATAGTGAGTCCATGTGTGGCAGACAACTGTGCTCCATAGGTTTTCAGTGGCTGTGACCTTTCCAAGTGCATCGCCAGGATTTCTTCCAAGGCACTTCTGGATAGATTCAAACCGCTAATCTGTTGGTTGGTAGCTGAGCACTTAACCGTTTGCGCCACCCAGGGATTCCTTGTCATTCGTATGATTAGAATTAAATATAGTTAAGACAATGTATTGGTTTAGGTTATAGTATTTTAGCATCTCAGATTTAGACAGTAGTATACTTCAAGCTGTTTCTAGATGAAGTTTCAGCTGCGTCATCTGCATTGTCAATTAGATCTTGCCTAGTGATAGAAGACCAAGTTCTAGTACTGAATGGAAGTATCTTAGAGGTTAGCCAGCATAACTTCTCATCCAGCTCTGGAATTCTTCCTCCAGGATTCCTAATGGGTGGTCATTCAACCTTTCTTGGAGCACTGCTAACTTGGCCTGAACAACTTGGTGGGGCACCCCATTTTGTGTTCTTTAAATTGGCATGAAAAGATAATAAGCAGTTATGAGTGAAGGAGGTTTCGTTTTGTGATCTGTGTCTATGTTCAGGGGTAAAAAACGTAGGGCAGGACTTAACAATCCTGAGAAATTTTAAGGATACTAGAATAACCTTCCTGTTTTTCTTTATCCATTTTCTGCCTTGTTTGGTGCTTCAGAGAAGTTACATACCAGAAGAATTGGGTTGGCATGGTGAGTTGAAGAATCATGACATTTTGGAGCTTGAACAAGACCTTAGATAACCTTGTTTTATGAAGAATCTGAGTCCCAGTTTGGTGGAAGTGACTTACCCGCAGCCACTTGGCTTTCTGGTGACAGGTTCTATACCAGAATTCAAGTTGCCCGACTCTTAGGACTTTTTCTCTTCTATGCTGCCTGGCCTCTTACATCTTTATTCTTTCTTTTGCTCTCTTTTCTCTTGTGTCATATGTCCACAAAGCCTAAAGTCTTGGAGTTGGTCTGTTTTCAGGAAAGTAAGCTCTAAATGTAGAGCTGGTGGTTGTTTTGTGTGTGTTCAGTTGGAGAAAAAGTTTACTAAACCTCTGTCTATAAATTTTTTAAGTAATCAATGCACAGCCTTTTGATTTCTTTTGCATTAAGACATCCCTCTGCAGAGGTAAGGTAGTAGACAGAGGTATTGAGCCTGTTAAGGAAATCCAGACCAGACTGCTGATCACACAATAGTCAGCACAGTTGACTTCCCTCAGCCCAGCACTCAGGGGCAAAGTGTTAGAATAAAGGGGAAAAATGATTTTTTTAAAACTTTATGAATAAATGTTGTGGTATCGAGAAGATTTTTACAAAAAAAAAGTGAGAAATAAAACAAATGCACATGCTTAGAGTTCCATTTCTGTTTGATTGTCTTTTCTTTTTCCTCAGTAAGAGACAGGGGGTCTGGCTATTGAACTCTAAAGATGGGGCAAAGGAAAGGGAATGATAAGACTAATTAGATGTACCCTGATAATGCTTCCTTGATGGTAGCCAAAAATGAACCAAAACAAATTATACCCACCTCTACTGAGGTTTTGATCTTAGAACCTTACAGCGTTAGTTGTCAGCCAGTAGAAAATACTGTAAGATTACTTTAGCTAGTCTGTAAACAAAATTTTATATCATTTGCATCCCATAGGTTTTGTTTATTTAGTAAATACATGGTGCTTAATTCTCTTAACAAGCTGGGAGGAAGGAAACCTTAATATTTTCATTTTTCTGATAAGGAGCCTGAGGCATAGAGAGGTTAAGTAACTTGTTCAAGATCACACAGGTGGTACGTGGCAGACCCAGGATTTGAACCCAGGCAGTCAGGCTCCAGAGCCCATGCTCTAGTTGTTCTTTGCTGAATTGAAACATTAAATAATCTGCACAAGTGCTCATGGTTTCATGGTAGAGCCTAGAACAAAGCCAAGTATTTGCTTTTTGGTCTCAAAACAAATACGTATTTGTTTTGGCATCACCTAGGTATATTTTAAAATAAAGTTTTCTATTTTAAATTGTGTCTTTACTTTGTCGTTCAAATTATTTCAGTGGCAGTGTTTGACAGTGATTTCTTTGGAATGCAGAATGGCATTGTACTGCTTCTCTGTTGTGTTGCTTCTTTAAAGAAGGTAGAAATGGTTAGGGAAGATAATGAGGATGTTGTAGCACTTTAGCAAATGTCGGTTCCTTCTATCAGGACTACCTCCCAATCCTGGATTTAGCCATGCTTTGGTGGCCAGAGGGAGACTATTCTGCTCTGTTATTCTCCCCACTGAAGTCAAAAGAAAACATTTCAAATTTATAATATTCAGGTATCAGATTAGGAAGGACTTCTTTTTAGAGTACTTGTGCTCACTACCGGTCTTTTAAAGGATAAAATACCTTTGTGATAACAAATACATTATGCTCTGCAAGGTGAAAAAGCC